GTATTATTGGTACATTTGTTCAAGGGATATGGCTCAGTTTTGGTAAGGCCAAGGTAGGTAACTGGTAAACTCACACCTGTCAACTTCTTTTATTGTAAAGGAAAGAAAGCCCTTAACTATTACTGGAGCAGGGTCAGGAAAATTTATGATCTGAGAATAATAAAACTTCCCTGAAAGAAACATATGATATGAAAACAAATTTAAAGAAATTAGCGATAACAGATGAAAGGAAAACATATAGCTTAAAAGTAAAAAGCTTTCCTCTGTAGGTCCTGTCTAATTTGTGAATATTTCATCCTGCTCTTTCTTCATCAATAGACCAACAAGAACCATGTGTGGCACAATATCCTGAAGGGGTCATGAGTTTCGTGTGGTCCATTTTCCTCTTTAGGGTAATCACTCTAGAAGTCTGTTAGAAACACAGGACTTAAATCCTGCTCATTTTACTTGCATAAGTAATCCATGGGTTGTAATAAGTAACCTGAATACAATTTGGGGAAATACTTCAATTTTTATATTGTTAGGAGCCAAATTCTTATTTCATGGTTCATTAAGGGCCGGATGCTGAGAGGTGCTGAGGAGATATGGCTATTAAGCATTTCTCAGATAAATGGTATGTGAAATAAATATAAGACTTATATAAGTACCACAGGAGGCATGACTAGAAGCAATGGCCTCAAGCTTCATCGGAAGAAGTTTAGGTTGGAGATCAGAGGAACCTTTTGGCTATGAGTGTGGTCAAGCACTGGAAAAGACTACCTAGAGAAACTATGAACTCTCCATCCTTGGAAGTTTTCAAGAGCAGGTTAGACAGGCTGAGATGGTTTAGTTAGAAATGATCCTGCCTTGGGCAGGGGGCTGGAATAGATAATTTTGTAAAGTTCAATCTAGCCCTACTTTTGTATGATCCCAAGTGTTTGACATTGGATGTAGGTGGTCCTTGATTACTTTAACCATGCAATCATTTTACCTTGAGCACAGACAGTTGTCTCCCTTCATATGATTTTCCAATGGAGAACATGTGGATGAGATCCGAGTGAGTTTTGTTCAGTTGATACATCCAATTTTGGATCTGGAAATGTAGAAATAAAATTGCTGCCTCAGTTGTTTGCTTTTAATGAAAAGAGAATGAAGAGTAAAGGAAACCTTGTGATGGGTCCCATTTTATTTCTTTTGTCTTGGTCTGTCATTCAGACTGTAAGGGGGGAAAGGGGTGTCACTATCTTCTTTGTTGCATGTTGTCTGCACAGTGCTTATCATGCCTTGATACTTCACTGGGGTTCCTGGGTGCTAATATAAAACTACTGCTGAGCCCTCAGTGTGTGTTTTGATATTCTTGATATATGTCTTTGATATGTGCTGTCTCTGTTCTCTGAATGCTCCAAATCTTTTCCTTTTCCCAGCTTGTTGTTTCAGTTATTTCTTTCTAACCTCTGCTACTCCTGCTTTGTCCTTATTACAGCATAGTGGGTGCATCTACACGTGGCCCTATGGCGCTGTTGTTACTGTGCCATCATTTAGTATCTCCTTTAGGAACGCATGGTTATTTTTAACCGCTATGTTGCTGTAGTGATGCACTGTAATGTTAAGGTTTGTGCCTGCTGGCGCTATGTTGCTATAGTGTCTCATGTAGACGCACCCAGTGACTTCTAGCTGCCTCCTGAAGAATTCAGAGGATGGTGAGTCTAATTGGCCATTCTCTGAAGACAGTGGGGGGTAAATGTAGAAAGGATGCTACTGAATCCTTCCCATGGAAGACAGCACTTGGACATACAGAAAAGGTGCTTATGTTGAAACGAAAGGAAGAACTCACTGACACTTTGTGTTACTTGCTTTGAGCTTATTAGATGCCATAATCAAACTTCAGGAAGTACAGATCCCTGTAAATTCAAGCCAGTGTTCCTGTTTCTAGAGCAAACTGAAGCAAGCATTTTTCCACAGAATTCTAAGAAATTACATACTGACAATAATATGTATTGAACAGATGCATAGATTGTCTAAAAGGCAATTGTTTGTCTTCCTTTCCCGTGAAAAATGTTTTGAAGTCAGCTGCTGCAGAAGTTCTGCACACAATACAATGAAGAAAGAAAGGCAACAACATCAGGCAAAAAGTGTTACAGTAATTTAAAAAGTCAACTTTCTGAAGAAAACAACCCAAAAGTGTAAAAATATTGGACATGTTCTTAAATGAATACTAGGCCAAAACTGCCTTTGACTTCAGTGAATTTCATCAATATGTTAACAAAGTTGTTCCCTACAGCAAGAAATTTAGGCTAGGTACAGACATTACACAAAGTGGTATAAGTGGTCAGAACCTGGTCTATACCTGTAACAGAACAGATGTTCAATGCACATAGACTAGTTTAATAATGGCAGAACCTGTTCTAAAATAGACCTGGACTAATGTAGTATCAGGTTTAATCAGTTTAAGTTAAACCAGTCTATTGAACTTCTGCACCAGATCCCCTCCCAACTCAAATAGGTTGCTGTCTTCTGGCATCTCAGGCTCCTTTGCAGGCCCCCACTAACTGCTCCTCATAGGACAGGCAGGCTAGCCTTGGGCAGCCTGTGCTCCTCTGCTCTGGCTGAGTGCAGAGCTGGCCATGCCTCCAGGCTGTCACAGAACTGAGGCAGTAAAGACTGTGCTCCCCAACCCTGTGTCCTGCCTGCACCTGTCAGCCAGGGGATGAGGCAGCAGGGAGAGAATGGAGCCCTCTGCCCTGCCTCCTTCTGAGCTGGATTCTGCACAACTGGGGGGGAGGAGGCTGTGTGGTGGGGACTTTCTCCTAGCTACTACTGCCTGGCTGCCTGGGCCCCCACTTGGATAATCTCAGCTGCCCTTGGCAGTACCTGGCATGCTGAGAGGTGTGTGGAAACGCCCCATGCCTTCTGGCCTCAGCCAGTGCAGGCATCTACCTGTTTTCTCCAACCCAAGCGTGAACTATGTTCCATTCACTCCTAATCCAATTTACATAGTTTAGAACCCCACATAGATTGGATCAACTTTGCCTTGGGCGTTTTGAATGTCTGTACTTAGCCCTAATACAATCAGTATCTGCTCTTTTCTCTGTGAGCCATCTTATGTCAATGGGAATTAGTCACCTGAAATCTGGCAAGATTAGGCATTTTATAATGGAACCCTTTTCTTTTAAATCTTTGAGTTGAATTCTGAAATTCACATGCAAAATTTTCATTACATGACTGAATCATTGGAACTGCTCACATAGGGAAGGTTAGCTAGGTGTTTAAGTCTTATGCCAAAATAATTTAAACTAAGATCACTTTGAAAAGTGCTTTGTTGAAAAAAAACCCACCCCAAACTGCTAAGGATGATGATACTTTTAAAGATGCATCATCTAACCTTGAAAGTAAATACTCTAGACATTGATTTAAAAAAAAGTCAGGAATCTATTCTCTTTTTCATTTTTCTGTTTAAAAAAAGAGGAAAACTTGTTGGAGAGGACTATGCATATGTAATTTGCATTAGCATCTCCATGTGCCAGGGTAGGAACACACAGACATCAGTGAGACTATAGATAAGATATGAGACACACCATCTTAATTTCTACCTACTTCTTTTAGTGAGTGATACACTTCATAGTTGTATCCTGGCATAGATCTACGATTCCTAGATGACCCCAACCCAGTTTGTTTTTCTATTGCTTGCTGTAGATCAGATACGAGAATCCTGGGTAAAAAAAGAAAGCAACATGAATAAGCAGCCTGGCAATGCAAAATAACAATCACATTTTAAAAAAAGTAAAATCAGGCTGATGTTAAATTATTCCTTTTTTTGCTTTAATGATATCATGTTGCAGGTTTATAACACATGCTGTCAACTAATAACCTCAATTGTTTTGAAACATAGTGTTTAAAAAATGCAGGCAGCTTCTTAACAGTAAAATAAATAGAATAGTATAAACAACTTAACCAGTGTGAAGAGTCATTTTGATTTGTTTATGTGTAGCCACATTTTGTTTATATGGATACATTTGTAGTCTAGTTTGAGGTTTATACATAATCAAAGTTCTCTCGGACTTGACTGTAAAACAGTTTAAAACATACCTGGAAAATCTGGAAAACAATTAAAGAACAAAAAAACAGAACAAAAAGACCAGATGTTCAGAATAGTAATATGTCATCTAAAGCAAACAATGTTATGTAAAAACTACCCTTGAATTATCACATATAGGTTTTAGTATGAAAATGTTACCGTGCAGCCTGTAACTTAAAAATTACCTTGCAAAAATATGAACCAACTATTACTCAGTGTGATGTAAATTTATGGTGCACTTCATACTAGCACTCGTTCACTGTGGGACTGCTAATGCGTAGGCAAGAAGCTTTTCTATGCTTGTACCAAGACTAAACAATAACAGGAAAAGAGAAGTTCATTATAGGCTGATTTCATATAGCAAGTACTCTAAATACTGTGTCACTTTACTGTGTAATTAGTGTACCAATGTATGTATTAAAGTAAAAGTTAGCCATTGGGGCAATGAGGCCGATTTATCAGGCACTTGCGGGCAGCCCAGGGTATTCTGCTGACCGGAAGGGGCATGGCCCTGGGAGGCATATAAGCCCAGGGCCTGAGTTAGCAAGTTAGTTTAGCCCTGCCAGCTGCAGGGGTAGGAGCTCCTGCCCAGGAGAGTTACCAGGGGATGCCAGACTGACTGCTGTTCTGCCTGTGGCACCCCAATGAAGCTCAGGGAGCTCATGAGGGCCAGGAGGTATGCTGGCACAAAAAGTGAGGGAAGGTTTTCCCTTTTAAAGGGGAAGAGGGCTGCTTCTTTTTGTGTGTGGATGTTGATGGGCTTGGAGGGGACTGTTTAGGTTATAGCCCAGCAGCTTAGTGTTTGTGTTGAAGCTGAACACTGGCAGTTTGGGTTGGGACTATAAGGGGCAGTGTACAGAGGTCCCATTAATGCCTGTGGGGCATGTGATCACCTTGAGCCCTGCCATGGGCAGGCTCAATGCTCAAGCAAGGGTTGAGCCCAGAGCTGGCAGACCGTGAGGCCACAGAGCCACAAAGGGGCCAGAGGCCCAATGCCTAAAAGGGCTAGACCAGAGTTGGTGCCTCAAAGGTATGTCTGACACAGTGGGCCTGGGCTAGAAGACCTAGCTAAGTGGAAGGGGGTGGCAGCTGAGGAGGATGAAGCCCCAGCAAGTGAACAGCATGGCAGTAATGTCCACGAGGCTTGGGGTATGGTGTAGGGGAAGAATGGATTTGCACAATTAGTCCCGAAGGCTGTAGATGCCCTGTAGTAGCACAGTTGTAGAGAGGCCCAGCGAGGGGCCTGGAAATTGTGAGGCCCAATGTGAGGCTTGGAAATAGTGTAGTGGGACCAGAAGGGTCCAGTGGCCCAGTGAGGGGCCTGGGAATAGTGTAGTAGAGACCAGTAGGGTGCTGGGGAACCCCAGTGGGGGTCCAGTTGGACTGGGGCCCATGTGAAGACCCATGGGCAGCCTCCCTTTTAGTCTTATTCCATCAAGGCATGGCAGGTAAGACAGAAGGGAAGGCACCCTAGAGGGTTAGTGGGGCATGGTGGGGAGCTACCAGGAGGCAACACAGCTGCTCCTGAGACCCCAACGTGCTACATAGGCATCTTCATCCAGCTTTGGGTTTGCGTGTGTTTAAAATACTTCAAGTAAAATGATGAAGCTGGGTTTTTTAAAGATTTAAGGTTGGATGAAATATATTGTTCTGCCACATTAAAAAAGTCTGACATACTTTTTTTTGAAGAGTTCTAGAACCCCAGTGCTGTGAAGCATAGACTTACATTTTAGCAGAGAAAATGAGAAAAACCAAATAGCTGCTTGCTAAGTGAGTATTGACTACCCTATGAACTAAGCATGGTACTGGCTATGTGGGAGGAAATAATAATATATAAGTATAGATTATATCATAATGCATAACATAAGAAGGCCAAATTAAGGTAACCTTAATTCTGACCTTTCTAAACATTTTCTAAATGTTTTAGTGCTTCACAACATTAATAATATACTTTTAAAGGTAGTTGCTGAGACCCAAGAATAGCAGCAGGTTTGTGAATGCAATACTCTGTATATTTCAACTCCTGTACAAAATGTAACTTCTGAGTGAAATATAGATATAAAAATGTATATAAGCATCTAACTTTTAAATATAATCAAAATCCCCCCCATAATGAAAGGCCCACTGAAAAGAAACTCTGATCTCAGGTTCCCAGACTTGAAGATTTAATGTTATGTTTATCTTTAAGGTGAGAAATGTGACAACTTGTGATCAGAATTATCTAGAAGAAATATTACTGATAGTGCCTTCCATTCAACATGTAAATGTAGTTTACAAACATTAAAATTCATGACTTTAATTACCCTCTGATAGGACTTGATTAAGCAAATTACTTAAACCTGTGCTTAACTTTTAAGAATGTGATTAGTCTATTCACCTTAGTGGGGATTACTCATCTGTTTAAAGTTACACATATGCCTGTGTAATTTGCTAAATCAAGGCTTTAACAAGATCACTCTTCATCTGTATATGAAAAATATGATGAATATATTTTAAAAACATTGCTTATTATTTAAAAATACCATTAGGTGGGAAGTGTGATCCTTATTTAGTACTCATTCTACTTATGACTGATATTTGGTGACCAGGAACAGTTACAAAAGAAACTGTGTTCCTTTATATGATTCATGAAGCATGTGAACTCAAACTTAAAACATGCTTAAACCCATTTCCTATAAGGTGTATATATATAAGCAAATCAGACTATAGAATTAGTAGAAATAATAATCATCTTTCTCACAACAGATACAATTGTATATGCACTGCAGATACACTATTCTGCACTGTAAAAGAGGACATTTAAACAAACTGTCTGTCTGTGGCATATGCTTCCTGTTCTTTCCTTAAAATGACTGTTCTGCTTTGAACATTTAGCTCCCTTGTGGTGGCCAGAACCAAGTTTGTACCTTGCAAGTGGAATTTGTCTGTCACAATGTAACCAAAGTATTGAAAAGGTTTGCACTGATCATGGGACTGACTGGGCCCCAAAATTAAGCAAAACTACAAGATTAGCGGATCTAATAGGTTTTTTAAAGGTCAGCCATGACAAGATCTGACCACCTAATATAATAAGCACAATCCAAGGAATCCAAGGAATAAGAAACCAAGGGGTTGAGCTTGGGCAGAGTAATGCTAATTTCAAACCTCAAAGTAATGTGGTGTAATTTGCTTATTGGGTGAACCCGAGTTTGGGCGGTAACCTTTCATGATAATTTCTAACACCTTTTAATCCCATAGGGTAACAGCTATACGGCAAGATTGTGAGCGTCTCTAAAGCCAACAGATTAGCATAAAGGAACATGCATGTCAAGTAACCAGTTTGAAGGATGGGACAGAAGGACCATTGCTGTACCAAGCCTGAACCCCGGACTCCCAGTGTGAGCAAGGACCGGATCCTGACCAAGGGACCTTCCTGGTGACCCCTCAGACAGCGTTGACTGGGGACGCCTGACTTCGCTGGAACAACTTGGCTCGCACCTAGCATAGAGGGACTACTGATAAGTTGCCAACCCCACGTGGAAATCTTTGTTATTTTGTCTATCTGTTATTATTATTTACTATTAGGTCTTTAAATTGTACTATTTGTTTGTCACATTAACCTTTCTGTTAACTGTTGTATGCTAAGCTATAAGTAAATTTGCCTTTACTTCACTCCCAACTCGCCTCCTCGATCCTGAACCCAGCAGCCTAATGGCTGATACACTCACAGTGTCTAGCTGGCCTGTGACACTCCCTGTCAAACTTATTAAAACACTGTAACAGTACAGAATCTTGTCAAACAAACTTATTGGAATAAACAGACGTGCATTAGAGGATGACTCCAGAAAGTGAAATGTGAACTTACGTGTATTGGATGTTTGCTTGCTGTAGATAGGATAGCAGAACTCGTGAACTGTTCCTTGGTACACGTAGATCTGTGACTGTACCCTCTGAGATGTAGGAGAGGCTGCTGGGCTGCCACAGGTCTACCTATAGTGCAGGAACCAACCTGTAATTCATATTTATTCAGTGTAGGTGGGGAAGTGCAGGAGATAGAATGCTTGAAATTATTTTCTACAACATTTTTTTTATTGTATACGTGATAAATGGAAATGTTCATGTCTAACACTCCAGCCAACACTGTTTACTTACAGTACTTGAAGAATACCTTGTACTTTTTTGTTTTTAACAAAGCTTTGCTTTCAGTATTAAATATTATTTATCTTTCTGAAGAGGCTAAAGTGAAAAATTTGAGAACTAAATCTGAAACAGTCATCCAAATGAATAGTGCAACTGAGCTGCACAGCTGGGACTTCCTTATTATAATTCAGTTTATAATTGATTTAGCAATTGTCCTTTAATTCTCCTTTCCTCCTAAATTTTGGGTGTATTTGGATCCAGGACTTTCTTTTTTCTTTGCATATACCACAGTAGTAACAGCGCTTTCTGGGCAACACAGAGAACCTGGCTCAGGGCGCATCACTATCTTTTATCTACAAAAATCTCAGCAGCTGGCAACCATTATTCAAGGGATGTTTAAAACATCTGTCACTTTTCTGTATCAGATTTCCTATACATACATTAATTTCCTGTCAAAATCCCTGAGAGTATTGCACATTCTCTCTATATCAGCTTCCCTAAAGACAGCAGATTTTTTTCCTTTTTTTAATAGGGCAGTAAAAGGAAAGAAAGCTGAAGACAAATGGAAAGTGTTTAAAGTACACTAATATGATGCTTGCAAAGGTCATATAAAAGTTCTGCAATGCCATTTAATAATAAATATGAGAAAGATGCAACAAAAGGTCAATGCAGATTAATAAGGAAATGTAAAATGTAGTCACGGTTAAAGGTGTATATAAAATATTAGGTAGAGAGAAGGACTTGGAAAGATTATGATATGAAAGAGCAAAATGATTTAGAATAGCAAAATTGGAGGTTAGAATGAAAGTTAAGACCAAAATTTTTCAAGTAGATACAAAATAGGATGAAGTGCTAGAACTGGGGTTTTTAAAGAGCCTGACTCCATTTGAGAATTTAAGAACTAGTAAAAGAATACTATTTCTGAAGCCAAACGTGCCAAACCAGATTTTTGTTTCAGTAGCATGAGATCAAATGCAAAAAATGTGGGTGTAAGGACTAATGTAGAGGGGGTAGGGAAGAAAGACATAGGAAATGGTTTTTTAAAATAATTAATTAGAATGTCTGAAGATGACTCAGTCTGAACCAGTAGGGGTTAAATATTTTGGCAGAAGTGCCACAAATTAGCCCCACACTGTCCTAAGCGTCACTTCAATCTCCTTCCCCTGCTTGATCTGCTGCTCTGCGTGCCGCTCCACGACCAATCCACTGCTGTTTTCCGCTTCCTGTCCCAGGTTCCGTGCCTGATCTGCTGCTCTTCCCCTTGCTCCCTTTGCTATCTGCTGCCTGTCCCCTCTCTGATATGCAGTGTGCTACACAGAGAGGCTGCCTGTACTACTTGTAGCGCTCATGCTGCAGGTTGGCCACCATGATCTAAAATAAAGTGCGATCCATCCAATAATTTTAGAAAAAATTATAAAATACTATAAGAAACGAGTTTCCTTTTTTAAAAAGCATAATAGCTACCAACTTACTGAACAGACACTAATGTAATACCTATA